TTTTTTTTTTTTTTTTTTTTTTTTTTGTGATATATTTTTTCAGATTTTTTGCCAAATTTTATTCTGAATTGTTTTCAGAAATCATATTTATAATTTTTTTAAACCTTATTTCAGATTTTCTTTGTATTTTTTATTTATTTTTTTTATATACATACATTTTTTTAGATTTTTTTTCCCTCCAGATTTTATTAGTTTGAATCTTTTTTTTCAGGTTTTGTGCCAAATGTTTAGATTTCACAAATCATATTTTTATTTTAAAACCTTATTTCAGATTTTCTGTGTAGTTGTTTTTGCCCAGATTTTCATTGTTCAAATATTTTTTTCCAAGTTTTGTGCCAAATTTTATTTAGAATAATTTATTTATTTTCACAAATCTTCTTTTTATTATTTTTTTTTTAAACTTTATTTCAGATTTTCTTTCTAGTGTTTTTTATTTTATTTTATTTTTTTCAGATTTTGTTCCCGGGTTTTGTTCACATTTTTTTTTTTTTTCAGGTTTTATGCCAAATTTTCTTTCTATTTAAAAAAAAAATATTATTTCAGATTTTTTTCCTCTGATTTTATTTATTTAAATATTTTTTTCAGGTTTTATGTTTTCAGATTTAGTGAAAAACAAACAAAAAAAGTTAGATTTTTAGATCTTCTCTCATTATTTTCTTTTGATTTCTTTAAATGTATTTTCTCCAACTTTAATTACTAATCAGATTTTTTGTTCTAAATAGTTTCATAGAAAATTGAGCTTTGATTAGTATTTAAATCCTGCTTCATAGATTTCCCATCTAGGTCATCTACATCTACAATGCTTGCTCTCGGTGTAGACGTTGAAATCTGCAAAACAGGATTTAGAAAAAGTGCAAAATGTAAAACTCAGTTTGCCAACAGAAAGAATAAATAGATAAAATTAGAAAAATATTTAAAAAGTCAGAATTATAGAAAGTGGGCCTCTAGAAGACTGTAAAAATGTTGGAGCGTTTTGATGCGCTTTATAAATTAGTCTCATGTGTTTTAAAAATACCTTTTTTGAATCGTGTTCTTTGCCTTCTGTGATGTTGGAGTTAACTTCTCTAGACGACCATCAACTGGAACAGAAAGACAAAGTGAATGTTTTGATCTGTGGCGCCTTTTCAGGAGCTGCGACCGCAGCATCCGCAGTCTGGACCAGGATTCCCCCCCAAAGAAGAAGAAGCTCCAGCCGGCGTACACCTCCACCACTCACCTGCTGGCCGGGAAGAAAGCCCCCGCCACGCTGCAGACCAAATCCAACGAGCTGGAGACCACCGTCTTCTACATTCCAGGAGTGGACGTGAAGGTCAGGGCCTCTCTAAACATCCAGACGGCTCTGGGTTTTTTTTGTTTCTTTTTTTGGGGGGGTGTTCTCATCTTTCTGTCTTCTCCTGAAGCTGCACTACAACTCCAAGACCCTGAAAACGGAGTCTCCCAACGCCTCGCGGGGATCCTCTCTGCCCCGCACGCTCTCCAAAGAGTCCAAGCTGTATGGTATGAAAGATAGCGGCTCTATCAACCCTCCCCAAAGCAAGACTAACTCGCTCCTACCTCCCCCGCCCCCACCTATTGCTACAGGTACAGAGTGTTTGTGTTTGTTGTTGCATGCTGTAGCACCATCTGTAATCTGCTCTCCTGTGGAGCTTTGGAACAGGCTGCATGCGGTTTCCCTCCAATATCCGGGGCGGTGATTGGTGGGGGGGTGTGTGCATGTGGACCAAGATAGTCCTGAAGGTTTCAGGTCTTCCTGCTGCTGAATCTCTGCTCCGTCTTTCTGCAGCCAAAGCTAAGACTGTTGGGGGGGTGAAGACGGCCAAGCTGTACGCGTGGGTGGCCCTTCAGACTCTGCCAGAGGAAATGGTCATCAGCCCTGCTCTGCTGGATTTCCTGGAGAAAGCCTTGGAGACCATTCCCATCACTCCTGTGGACAGAAGCTACACAGGTCGGTCGGTTTGTCTCTTTAAGACTGTGCGTGGATCCTTTTCTCCTCCTCCTACCGTCCTATGTGTGTTTTTCTGCCGCAGCGGCGACCCAGGAGGAGGACATGGGCCAGTTTGAGCCGGTGGAACCTCTGGAGGAATCCACAACCTCCTTGGTTTCCTCCTCCACTTCCGCCTACTCTTCGTTCCCTGTAGACGTGGTCGTCTATGTCAGAGTTCAGGTACGACCCACATGGAGTTCAACGCCTCAATATTGACGAGATCAAACAGAAATGCTATCAAACTTTGAGCTGATTTTGTTTTAAAGCTGTTGATGAAGATTGAGATCTTTCCACCTTCAAACACAAACTAATGTTGTAGCTCCTCCACCGTCGCCAAACTGATCAACACTAAATCTCTTAATTCCTCTGAGTCCTGCTGCTCCAAAGGTTAGACTCATGTTTCCACTGTGAGGGCGGTTTATTTATCAAACAGGGTTGGCTTTGGTTATTTCCCATAATCCTCAGTATGCAGTAGTTGGCTGCGTTTCAACGCTCGCTTTCCTTCAACCTGATCAAACAGGAGCAGTTTTCTTTTTACCTGATCTAAAAACATTTCCTGGTGATCACAGCGACGTGGTCACGGATTTTATTGATTGTTTTGGTTTTTTAAGCTGATAACAATGGTAAATGCTTTGAGTTTAGCCAGATGCTACAATCACAGCAAACAGTGCTGCGTTCACAGCAGACGGTGCTGCGTTCACTGCAGACGGTGCTGCGTTCACAGCAGACGGTGCTGCGTTCACAGCAGACGGTGCTGCGTTCACAGTCCTACGTTCAACCAGCCAAGAATGCCCTTCCACAACCCCCGTTTCAGAGACTTATACCCCATTTACACTACCCTTGAAAAACCGATCCATGCCGAGACCGGTCCGAGCTCGGATCAGTTAACCAGGCCGAGCTCGGTTCTGACGACCGTTTACACATCACGCTATCTCGGTTTCTCGCCTCCTAGTGACGATCTGTGGTATTACTGCCAGTATTGAAGGAGGAAATCAAGCAGTTGGTGGCGGTAATGCACCAAAAGTTGTTTGCCGATCGCCATAAAACACAAGAAGAAGAAGACGAAGAAGGAGGGAATCAAGCAAATCAAAATGGCGGCGCCCGTCACATTCAGAAAGTTATGCTTGATTATTATTGCTGTACTTCGGTGTTATTATTTAAAATGCCATTATTTAAAATGTTGCGTGGAGAAGATTTTGATTGTTTATAGTTGAAGAAGAAGTTCTTCTTCTTCTGTTTCCGGTGGGGCATTACCGCCAACAAGTGGAATGGAGTGTGAATCGCGATGTGCAGCCAGACGGAGATTACGCGTTCTGCTCATGCGCTCTTGTTATCAGAGAACCGAGCCGAGCCCACCTCTGGACCTGGTCTGCAGTTATCTCGGTCCGGTTGTGTCTAGCTCGGTTCAGTTCAGTTTGCTTTCCATTTACACACGATAAGTTATCTCAATTACTGAGCTCGGACCGGTCTCGGCACGGGTAGTGTAAATGAGGTAATAGACAGGTATGGGGCATTGCAGGCTAACAAAGAAGCCAAACGACCCCGTTCCAAAGGGGTGGACCCATTCATCTGTTTCTATTTGCATGTTTTCTAAACAAAAACAAGGCTTTGTTGGGTTTCTGTATAAAACCTGGAACTGAACGCTATTTCTGACATTTTGAATATAAAAAGCTTCCTTGATGGGAAGAGAAACGTCTTCAAACTTGGAAACAAAGTCCAGTGGAGTTTTTTTTTACTTTTTTGGAACAAATGTAGGGAGCAGCCATTCCAGTGCTTCGTGGCTGATGATCCTCTAATGAACCAGAGAGCGCTCACATCAGCTTGCCTCTACTTTAGGTTTTCTCTCACATGTTCCCTGTTGTAAAGAGCGAGTAGAACCGCCGGTCCGATGCTGCGGTTCTGCTCTCTGACCTCATGGCTTCTGTTTGCTTCCAGCCCTCTCAGATCCGCTTCAGCTGCCTGCCCATGTCCAGGGTGGAGTGCATGCTCAAGCTGCCCTCTCTAGACCTGGTGTTCTCCTCTAACCGCGGAGAACTGGAGACCCCAACTGCAGCCAACCCCATGGAGGGATCCCACCCCCCTACGTCCACTCCGCCTGGGCAGCACGTCCCCAAGGTCCCCCCCAGTAAAGGTCAGTTGCCCTTCGCTGATGCAGGGAAGCTTTGATGGTGTAGATGTTGAATCAAACGGTGTGTTGGGTTTCCTCCAGCGTCTCCGCTCCTGGGGAGCCCTTTGGGCCGGAGCCGCCACAGCAGCAGCCAGTCGGACCTCACGGGCCCCCCCACCAACTCCTCGGGCCTGAGCTTCACCGCCTGCATGTCGGACTTCTCCCTCTACGTCTTCCATCCCTACGGTGCCGGGAAGCAGAAATCAGCCGTCACAGGCCTGCCTCCGGGTCCAGGACCGTTAGGTTCGGTGAAAAAAGCTTCCTTTAATGTGATGTCAGCTTTGTCGCAGAGCAGCAGGACGTTCATGTCTGTCTCTTGTAGATGACGAGCCATCTTCGGTTACCGGAAGGAAAGACTCACTGTGCATCAACCTGGAGTTTGTGAAAGTCAGTTTGTCCAGGATGAGGAGGACCGGAGCTCCAACCTTCATCGAAAGCTTTGTTACTCCTAAAGGAGGCAAACTGGACACCACCCTCATTAACATCTCAGGTAAGAGAGGAGAAGGTGAGAAGAAACCTGATGATCAAAGGAACCCTGGGATTTTATTATAAAAGATGTCAGGCCATAGCTAAACGATTCTGGTTTTTACATAAATGAAGAATCAATCAATCAATCTGTCAATCATACTTCAGTTAAAAGTTCTTAACTTGTGGAACTCAATTAAACAACTCGGCTACAATGGACACACCCAAAAAGACAAATGAAAATGATTGAAAACCATAAAAGGTATAACTAAGCAATGCTATAGTTCTGCATGGATCTTATATTTGAGGACCAAAGTTGATCTTATAACGTTATAACGTAGAGCTAACAGAACTGGCAGCGTTGCGAGGCAAGGGCTCAAACATGTACGGCTGGAAGCCTTCTACACCAAACCAAGCTTCTGGCGTCCTCTTCCACAACATCTTCATCCCCGCTTTCCTCCTCTAAATAAAAAACGGATGACAGATGAGACTCCTCCACGACCTCCGACACTAAACTCTCCTCCTCTTGCATGTTTCCTCTGTCCANTGGAATTTCCCATTGGGAACCTACTAGCACTAAGTTGCTAACTGGTTAGCAAGATGCTTCAAACAACAACAACCCCGCCCCCTTAAATAATCGACCAATCCCATTCACTTTATTCACTCGTGTAAAGTCGTGCACCACTTGGGAGAATTCGGAAATGCAACGGTTGGAACTGCTGCTTCTCTACGACTTTAAATTAATATTAATAGGAATGAGTTCAAACTAATTGACAATTCAAATTAAAGAGGAAACATTTAAATTAATAAAGTAAATAAATAAATAGTCCAGTTAAATCAATTAAAGTAAGAAATACTTCAATGAAATAAATTTTAAAGAGTCGTAGTTTAAAACCTTTGTATGCAACAAATGTGACTTACTGCCATATACATTTGAGAAATAAGGTAACTGAACCTTTAAAGAAAAGTCCGGTCAGCAAGGAATAATCAATGGATCACTATTTATACCTAAAACTAATGCGTTCGCGGTGATTTGATGAATTTAGCATTAATCAGTAAAAAAATAAAAACAATTCCCTCTAACACCCCCCTTTCAGAGACACAGACAGGTATGGAGCGTTGCAGGCTAACAAAGAACCCAAAAAAAAAAACCCCATTCCAAAGGGGCGGACCCGTTCGTCCGTCTCAGTTTGCATGTTTTCTAAGTTAAAACAAGGCTTTGTTTTTGGTGCACTCTATAAAGCCTGGAACTCAACGTAGTTTCTGACATTTTGAATTGAAAAGGCTTCCTGGATGGGAAGAGAAACGTCTTCAAACTTGGAAACAAAGTCCAGTGGATTGTTTTTTAACTGTTTTTGGTATCACAAAGTCTGAGTTTTTAGAGTAGGTAACCAGGATGTCATCCTCTCTGCAGCGGTGTGTGACATCGGGTCGGCTTCCTTCAAGTATGACATGAGGCGGCTGAGTGAGATCCTGGCGTTCCCCAGAGCCTGGTACCGACGCAGCATTGCCAGGCGCCTCTTCTTGGGAGACCAGACCATCAATCTGCCCCGTAAGCGCTCCCTGATCTGGTTGTTAGCGGTGGTTCTGACGCTTTGTTCAGATTTTTCTCGCTAGCTGTGCAGCATTAATGGTGAATATTTGACCCCTCCCCCCACAGCTTCTGGTCCCGCCACCCCAGACTCTGCTGAAAGCATAGCCCAGCACCTCTCCCCCGAGTCCAGCCGGAAAGCCTACTGGAGGACATGGGACGGCAGCATGGGGACGCATGTCCCCCACTCCCCCAACGTCTTCACAGAGCACTCCGCCGGGAGCAGCATGTCCCCTGGCGGCCTGGGCCACCTGAGGTCCCCCGTGCCGGGGCGCACTCGGAGCGTGTCCGATTCCTCCGCTCCCAGGAGGGGTGAGCCTCCCGAACAAGCAGAGTGGTCGTCACGGTGATGGGTTCCTCCTGACCAATCACATTTCTCCTGCAGATTCTGTGACCAAAACCTCAACGCCGTCGTTTGGTAAGAACGGGAAGTCGTCTGGTCCACAGGGGTCGCCGTGGGAGACGCTGGTGGTGTTCGCCATCAACCTGAAGCAGCTTACCGTGCAGATGAACATGAGCAACGTGATGGGGAACAACACGTAGGTGTTCCTCCTTCCAAAAACAATGCTGGGTCTGAACAGAACAAAAGGTCAGTCGGCTATGCAGAGCGAGGGCTGCCGCAGGCGGGCTAACCCTGAAAAGTAGACAGGGTGTCTGCCTCACGGACTAAAACTGGTAGTTGGTTCCACAGGAGAGGAGCCTGATAACTAAAAGATCTGCCTCCCATTCAAAGATGGCGGCTGTGGCTACTTCGGCTCCGGTTAGCATCGCAAACCCTATGCTACATTCTGCAGTTAAAACAGCGAGTCCCGTATCTACAAC